CTAATCTACATTGCAGTGCAGCAATGCTGTTTGATGGAAAACCTGTTCTGTCTATTTGTCACTAGCATTTTACATAATGCTATATTAATCCAGATCCAACAGAGAAGTTGAGTCATCAAGATTTTACAAACAATACAAAGTCGATTACAGCGGGTGACAAAGATTTTGGGGTGTCTGTGGCTCAGGAGGTAGAGCAGGTCGTCCACGAACCATAAGGATGGCGGTTCAACAACAGTCACCCCCACTCCGTGTACCTGCTGTGATGTCCATGATACTGAACCCCAAATTAAAGCTGACGGCTGAGTCACTATTGTGTGTGTGATCGAGAAAGTGCTCCAAGTAGATGAACTGTTTGGACGTGTGTGTAATAGTGAAAGGCACTTTGATTGGTCATCAATAGTAGAGAAGTGCTCTATAAATACAGACTATTTACCAGCCACAGCAGCATATCAACCATTTACTCACACCCATTCTCTGTGTGTATGTGTGCAGGCCACAGTGCAGTGGACATCAGTAAAGTGGCACGCCGTCATCGCATGTCCCCGTTCCCATTGACGTCAATGGACAAAGCCTTCATCACTGTTCTAGAGATGACACCTATTCTGGGAATTGAAGTCATTAACTACAGAGGTGAGTCTCTCTACATTACCTGTCTACTTTCTGCCTGCTGCTCTTTTAAGAACCCAGGGGAGAAGATGAACTGATGTCAGTCGTCTGCAGCAGTTTTGTGCTCAATTGTCAACTATGCACACATTCACGTTATCATTATTGTGTAAATTTGTTGTTACTGGTTGGTGGCCGCTCTCTGCAGACGGTTTGGGTCGAGTGCTCGCTCAGGACATCTACGCCAAAGACAACCTTCCTCCGTTCCCCGCCTCTGTTAAAGATGGCTATGCAGTGCGAGGTAACACCACCAATCCGATCTCATTTTTTAACACCAGATTAATGTGACGGAGCATCCATGAAAATGAATGCCATCTATTCATTTAACGTATGTTTGTTAACCTGCTGGCACTGAGTGAATTAAAGAGCAAACTGTAACCTTTCATCTTAGCTGCCTCTTAACGTTGAAAGAATCAATAATCATGGTCTAATTTTCATAATTAACTGGATTAACATCATGTTCATTGACCTGTAGCTGCTGATGGCCCAGGAGACCGCTTCATCATGGGAGAATCACAGGCTGGACAACAGGTCAGCTCTAACACACTAACATTATTTTTTCGCAATATTAAAGAACATTTAAAAAAGTCCCGATCTGGATCTGCACCATAATTTAATGTGTTCTTCCTGATCTATACCCGATCCTTCCACCAAGTTTAGTGGTAATCCGTAGTGTACTTTTTGCTAGAATGGCACTCAGTGACCATATACATCCGGCCCAAAAGTCCCCTTATTAAACCACATTTAAACCAGTTACATCGCCGGTGTTGTTGATCTGAATCGGCTCAGGTGATCACACTGAAACCTGACAACAGTGTTTCAACAAGGAAATCATATTGTTTCATGGATCTGCAACTTCAGCTTTATTTGTCCCTGGAGGGCAAGTGGTTTTGCAAAATAGGATGATAAAAAATAAGACATAACATAGAATACATAAAAGGGGAAGAGAGGTAGACACAGAATGTTACAGATTTGGGAGAACGATAGTAGTCCCACGTTGACCTTACAATTCTTGAATGAATGCAATATTGTTGAATAAATACAATAAAAACTAGAATAATAAACATTTTAAAAGATGTAAAAATATCATAAAAACCCCATCTGCCACCCTGGTTCTTGTTAGTTTGATGAAATGTTGCAGAAACTGTCGGCATATCAAGTTTTGTCTGACAGTAGGGTATGTTGTTTCTTTCTGGCAGCCTGATGTCACATAATTTACGTGTAATTTCACCCTTAAGTTTTGGGTGAAGTGAGAGAACATTGAGAACACTGTTAGGAGGCGGGGCTAAGACTTGCCTTCCTAATATGTCATAGGAAATAGATGCTTCCTGCCTCCAGAGTTTTCTGATGACCAAAGAGTCGTTTGAACCACCTTGCCAGCAGTTCAAACAGTGTTTGAGAGAGAGACAGCCATGGGGCAGAAGAGAATGGGGGACGTCTCTGATAGTCGAAGATGTGGTGGTTAAGGGGTTTAGTTTCAGCATAGTTTAGATCCCCCAGGCTGCACGTCTATGACAAATATCTGTCCTGCTTCCATCAGGTGGCTGCAGGGATTTCATTAATAGAAGGAGAAAGTTATTATCCAATATAATTATAGTTTTACAGCTGTGGATTACAGTTGCTGTGAGAATGGCACACATTTATTTATGGACTACATTTCTGACAATTGTGCTTTAATCACATCAATCTCTACTCAAGCTTGGAGCTTATTTTCTGTGTCTTTGGCCTCTGAGGTGCATTCCTGTGCTTCAGAAATGTGTGGTTTAACTTCCATAGCAGCAGATGAGACCGCCTCAGTTCTGTTAGTAACTCGATCTTCCATTCCCTCCTGAGTAGATCTCGCTATTAGTAGGATATATTAACTTTGCAGTTGTAAAGCTAAAGCTATGACTATTAGTACCACATAACTACCTCAGCTACTAATGTGACTACTGCACCTTATCACACTTTTATTCAGTGACAATATTTTACTGTATACCATGCTCAACAGATTTCTGAAGTAAACGTAAAATGAGTAAAATGCAAGAAGCACTTGACAACTATCAGACTAAGTACACTTTGTGTGTCCTTCTGTGTGTGTTGTGTGCAGCCCACCCATACAGTGATGCCAGGTCAGGTGATGAGGGTGACGACCGGTGCTCCCATTCCTTGTGGAGCTGATGCTGTGGTCCAAGTAGAAGATACCGAGCTGCTGAGGGAGTCTGAGGATGTAATAACACCACTTTGGATGTTTTCTGATCACTGGCTACTTTACTGCTGTGGATAGCATATGTTTTTATAGTGCACATAATGATGTTGAAAATGTGTCTCTTACAGGGCACAGAGGAGTTGGAGGTGAGGATTATGGTCCAGGCCCGGCCAGGACAGGACATCAGGTAAAAAAAAAAATAGTGGAAGCTAATTGCTATTAAAGCTGCATTAGAAAGCCACTGTTATGGATGTAATGTTTGTGTGTGTGTTCCTCAGGCCAATAGGGCATGACATCAGGCGAGGTGAGTGTGTGCTGGCTAAAGGAACGCATATGGGCCCGTCAGAGATCGGCTTACTGGCTACAGTTGGAGTGACTGAGGTCAGCGTGCACAAGTTTCCTGTGGTGGCTGTGATGTCCACTGGAAATGAGGTACATGCAAATAAACAGATGCAAATACACTCAGACCTTTATTTTGATATTTGCACCTGTGGTGATGGAAGGTGGAAGGTGATTATATTTGTGTGTGTGTGTAGCTGTTGAATCCAGAGGATGACCTCCACCCAGGGAAGATCAGAGACTCTAACCGCTCCACTCTTCTGGCCACCATCCAGGAGCATGGATACCCCACTATCAACCTGGGCATCGTTGGAGACAAGTATGAACTTTTATTTTGACAAAGAACATCTCAGATTCAGGACATGTAGCTCACAAAAGTATCCAACCTTGTACAGTTTTGTGCTGTAATATTTTGCCCAACAACTGATATTTATTTTTAACCTTTGGATCATACTGATTATAACGCCATGCTGGAGATGGTTTGTCCATCGATTCTTCCACATCTTCCAGAAATGTCTTCAAATTCTTCACCTAGATTCAAAGGTACCCTGAGTAGATTTGTTGGTCAAAGGTCAAAGCCACTCTACTGTGACATCATAATGTTCCTCTGGCCATTATTCAACACCCTCCCTTCTTACCACAATTCCTGCACCTTGACTGGTTGGTTGAGACAAACAGTTCTACTTGGTGGTAATTCTACTTGACCAGTCTTACTCTATTAACTTAATTTTGATACAGTTAAAATACTTGTTCTGTGATTTAATATTCCACTTTTATAAAGCTGGATCAGACTTAGACCCAATCCTATTTCACCCATTCTTCCTACCCCTTGACTCGAGGGTGATCTTGCCCTTGAAACACAGATAGAGGGGTAGTGATTGAAATCTTCCCCTATGAATTGGGACAGCACTTCAAGAAGGTGTTACATCATCAGTCGTCCTCGATGTAAACAGACACGACATACAGTTTTGCCGGGGATGTCATTGTAATGACATTGTTGAGATCTTAAATAAACCAATGCTATTGCTTGCAGTTACTAAAGTGACAAACCTATAATATTCATATCAACTCTATGCTAATGCAGGTGAATCGATGACATTTGCCATTCTTCCAGTCAAAATTGAAAAGCTTGGATGCTCCACATTATTTGACGTATAAATCAAAAGCATACAGCTTCAGCATGGTGGCAGTGGTCTGTAGGCAACCCTGAGCAAGCAGAGCAAATCTGAGCACAAGCATGGTATATTTGAGTGTTTACAAAATCTGAAACGTGAAATCAATCCTGCTCTCAAACTGAAAGACTACGGTTGAATAAAAAACATAATCCTGCACTTCCCATAATGCCACTTGACTGACATCTTTTTAAATCTCCTTGCGTGGTAAATGCTCTTTCAAATGCCACATCTCTAGTTTGTCAGTAGTTGTAGTGTAGTTATTTTCTCAGACTTCACAAAAGCTTCTCCACAGCCACAGGAGACATTTTACAGCTCACTTGCTTCCTCCGGATTAGTAAACTGGTTTGATGTGTCCTGCAGCCCTGACGATCTGCTGTCAGCTCTCCATGAGGGAATCAGTCGTGCCGACGTCATCATCACCTCAGGAGGCGTGTCCATGGGAGAGAAGGTACCGCAAACTTAAGACCACCTCCTCTAATTAAACAAAGAATTCACTGACATTTTGAGGAGGTGAAATGTAATGGAAAACAATTCCTATGCACGGTATTTATATCTGCCTGATTCAGCTTTGCGTTTTCTGTTGTTGTGCTGTATGCCAACATTCAGTATCACCAGATGCTTAGCTTTTGGAGCTGAAAGGTTAAAGGTCAAGGTCAACAAAATAATGGTCAGAAAAATATTTGTTTCCCACAAATAACAGAGACAATTTAAAGCGTATATTGACATATTACCTACAATATGATATGTGATGTGATGAAGACGTCACAAAGAAGTCAGAAAATTTGGTCCTATAGGACGGTAGACATGACCTAAAAATCAAAAAGATTGAAACATAATTTGATCATCATCACATCATTATGATTACATTAATCTTTGGAACCAGTAAAATTACATCAACAACTACAGCTTATGAGGTTTACCCAATCATTTGTCATCATTGCTTTTCATTTCTATTGACTCAGTTCAGTTTTATAATGTTGTTGTTTTTCACGTTTGTCTGTCAGGACTACCTAAAGCAGGTGCTGGATATTGATCTACATGCTCAGATCCACTTTGGTCGAGTCTTTATGAAGCCAGGGTAAGACGGGGGACGGGGTTAAACATTAAAAATGGAGGAAACAGGGTTTTTTTTTTCCTATTGACCCCTGGTGAGAAACAATACTAACCTCTTTGTTCATTATGTTTTTGTTCAGACTGTCTGTCTTATTCTTGTGAACGCGATATGTCAAGAAGGCCTTGATGGAATGTCTTTCATATTTGGTACAATGTTCTCTTGGACTTAAAGATGAACTTATTAGATTTCAGTGGTCAAAGGTAAAGGTCACTATGACATTTGATTTGGAAAAATAAGTCATCGATATGGAAACTGTACTAGTTGGGTTAGTTTCTTGCACTGCTGCTTTCTCTTCCATCTCTGCTTCAACTCTTTATACTTCTACTACTACTAATATTACTATTATTCACAGTTTTACTGCTACTATGACCATTTCTTGTACTTATGCTAATGTTGCTACTGCAGTTTCTACTGTTGTTGATAATACTACTTATGTCTATTAGTAAAAATCAGTTCTACCACTGCTTTTACTGCTCCAAATATGCTGCTCCATATACATGAGGTCTACCAACCGAATCAGAGTAAATGTCAGTGAACTGAGTGATCACAATGTAAATAAAGTTTTCCTCTGGTGAATCTCTCTCTCGTCTGGCCCGTCTCAGCGGCTGTGTCAGTGATTGAGACCATAATCACAGATGGGACATTTTTCATGGGAGAAATTGTCGTTTGAATGGCAGTCTATGGAGCCAGAGATTTCTTGGAGCCAGTTTGACCCAGCCCCTGCTGGATCTCTGCAGTATTACACTTTTAAGCACTTCATCATAGTCTGATATGATATGATCACATCTACTAAAAGTAAGGTAACCATCTGCATGTTTCTGTTTTTCAGTCTTCCTACTACCTTTGCCACAGCTGACATTGATGGAGCTCGGAAACTCATCTTTGCTCTGCCAGGTACCGTATTTCTATCTGAAATTACTGCTTGTGTGTGTTGTGTCAGTGTTGCCAGTAAGTGTGTATCTCATCATTGTCCAATCACCTAGACCCTGATTGATCAGAACTGTTTTAGCTCCTCACACACTGACGTTATTCATATGAAGCCACGTTCAGTTTAATACATGTAACCAACTGTATGCGTTGGCTCAGGCATGATCCCAATTCATGAATCAGGATTTTAGGTGACAAGTAACTGAAGTTAAGAATTTAAACTTTATTTGTATTAAAACAGAACAAACAAGAAGAAGTTCAAGGATGTGCAAGATATTTTCCCTTTTGTTTTGTCTTCATTTCCTTTGAGTAACCTTCAACATAAAAGCACCTGCAACTCAAAGTCAGAAGCACTTAGTAGCATACACGCACAAACTGGTGACAGTTGTAGCTTAAAGTGCATATGCTAGAGTGATGTGATGCCACAAGTCTTTCAAATTTTGCCAGAGGAAAGACTCATGGTCTCGAGTTATATGCTATTATTGTTCAAGGTCGCGAGGTTCAAAATGTTTCTGTAATAGACAGTTTAACTTAATGACTTCAGGTTTCATCTTACTGAACTTTTACTCTTCTCTTCTTGAAGAAATCCGGTCTCCAGACCTACTAACTCAGCATGTTTAATCTCTTAAGTGACTGGTTGTAGCTGGTTGCATGCTATCATTAGCTAACACGCCTATTCCAAAGCATCAAATCAAACATGAGTTTTATTGTTATATCCTCCTGATAGCAACATTGAAGACAGACAACTGAAAGTAACATTGATGCTGCATACACATCCACAGCAAATAAAGGATACATGAGCTTACTTTTGATCAGTGTCTGATCGGGATGTCTATCCGTCTGTAATCGTTACATTTCTGGAGCAAAACTCAAAAACTGCTGTGAATTTTATTTTCATAAATCTTGACAATGATATTGATCAGGTAGTGAGATGGTTCCTTTTAATATTGTATTGTTCTTGAGAATTAAAATTGTTCTGTCACTCTATGGCATCACATGTGAGTTGCCATGGTAAGTTTGACTGGGCCAAATAGATAGTATTCAGCAGAGCAACAGAAATGACTTCAACTCATCATCATTGACAGAAACTCAACTTCAAAACTTCAATTCATTGTCAATTCAATTTATTGTCATTCAAAGTTACACAGACAAATGCACTTTGAACTGAATTTGTTGCATTTAGCTCACAATACAGAAAAAGAGAAATAATTATAAATAGGTAAAGATAGGATTACTTTCAAAGCAGCACCAGGTGTAAATTGCTCTTTAACACTGTAAATATGAGTATATAGCACCCTGCAGGCAATGCTATGAAACCCTAAATGTCCCTTGGGTATCATCTTTGCCCAAGTACATCACCAAACTTTGACCTCAGGTGACCCCTCAGTTGATTGAAAACATGAGTGTAAATATATTGATATCCATACTCACTGTGACCTGTGAAATTGGATATTCATGCATAATCTTGCTTAACCAGCCACTTGTCCTCATTGTTGTCATCTGTCAAATAGCATCATGACCTCACCATCGGTTCTACAGTCAAACTGGTCAAAACAATGTTTTTGTTCATATTGAGGATTTGTGTTGTTAAGTCTTGCAAATCCTCTTTGAACTATGGTTACCCATAAAACCCTTGTCAGAGACCCACAGAAATGTGTACATGACTCTTAGAGAGCCATGATTATGGGTTGATTGGAGTCATCCTCTCTTCTGAATAGGCCACTGCCTTGACCAGCACCTATTGTTCTGTGTCCTTATACTGGTAAAGCTGAGGCATGGCTAAAAAATGTTTAGTATTATGTGAGAAATTACCAGAATAATTACTAGAATAAGATACATATTTGTCAATGCTGTGAGAAACGGCCAAAGGTTCGGAGACCTCAACATTTGTTTTCAGAAAATGTTAAGAAAATACTAAATGAGGAGTTGGAAGAAAATAATGAATCTCCACACAGACAATTTTTCCATATCCTCATTTGCACCTTGGTTCATGCTTATTTTATTACCTGGAACCTGCAGACAGAAAGATGTCTGGAGAGTTTTTGGTAAAGAAGGCCGATGCTGGTTTCGATGTGCTGTGAACAAAAGCACATGATCTCCGCAGCGGAATTAATACATCAGTTCCTGCCTGTTCCTGCTGCGGACATCCCCTGGAGTTCATGTCTGAAAACTGCTTGAGTGGCTCAGTCAACCTTGAAATGCTCTTTCATTGGGAGTTACTCCCAAACTTGCTGACAGGGAGTTTCTTTCCCTTTGTACACAGTCTCCATTGCTGGTTATGACTGGCATCAAAAATAATTAATTCGCCAAGTACATAAATATAAAGGAACATGTGTGTGTTATAACAGGCATGTACACTACAACACCACCATGTTCAATGCAAAGGGAGACAATGCAGACACTGATTAGACATTTATTCTCCCAGCATTTTACACTGTATAAAGGCACTCATAGATTGTAGTAAATTTCTCCTAACTTTATATCTCAGTTATTAGTAGTGTCCATGCTTTCCTCCTCAGTAACCCAGTGTTGTGTTGTTTTAAAGGTAACCCAGTGTCTGCAGTGGTGACTTGTAACCTGTTTGTGATTCCTGCTCTGAGGAAGATGCAAGGCATTCTGGATCCTAGACCTACTATCATTAAAGCTAGGGTAAGGCGCTAACACACACACACACACACACACACACACACACACACACACACACACACACACATAATATGACAACAACATACGGGGACTAACGTTCGATAGACTCTGTGTAAAATGTGTCTCAGAACCCAAAACCTCTTAACATTAATGTAAATACTGTAATTTGTTTTTCCACAGATGCCTGTTGATAAGTTTTATAAAATGGCACACATTAACATTTTTGTTGTAGAAATTATATAGATGTTTGAAAGGGGGCGTTTTAAAACAAATCCATATTGTAAGATACTGTGTCCACGCTCACTCACACAAAAAGTTCCACTGGGGTCCACTGTGGTCCTTGTGATGTAAAGTTTGTTATTCACTCATGTTTGCTTGGGTACACACAGACCCCTATGCATACATACACATGCGGTCCCAAATTCATGACCACGCTGACTGAACCCTTCAAGTGCACATACTCCAGTTACAATAAGTAAATTCACCTATACTGGAATAGAATGAAGGATCAGGTATGCATACCTGGAACCAAGACCGACACAGACTCTTATTTTTATATGAAAGGAACCGTGGGCATGTAAATGTGACCGGAACAAGTAGCTCAGTCAGCTTAGTGCCACTTTCCGTAAAGGCAGGAAACTGTGAAACATCTACCCAGACTTTTAAAGTTAAGTAATTAAAATTTCATGTACCATATGGTTAAAATGTTTTGTTATATGTAGCATACGGGCATGAAAATGGTATGATCTTCTCAACACACCCTCAGAGAGAAAGCACATTTCATAAGTGAACTATTCCTTGAAATGAGAAGCAGTGAAGTTGGACACATTTGTAACATGCTAGTAACCTTGTGTTTGTGTATTTCAGCTTTCCTGTGACGTTAAGCTGGATCCCAGACCTGAGTATCACCGCTGTATTCTCACCTGGCATCACCAGGAGCCACTGCCCTGGGCACAGAGCACAGGTACACACACACACACACACACACACACACACACACACACACACACACACACACACACACACATATGTTAGATGTGGTCTTCGCACACCCATGAGGCAAGAATTGTGTTTCCAGAATTCCAAAGTACAATTTCAGATTTCCATCAAATCAGTATTGCCCAGATAGAATCGTTCCTTTCATTCCATTCTCCACCTTCAACTCTAAACACAGCAGCTAAGGTTCTTACATGAACACAAAAATGTGATCCCGTCACACCCATTTTTGCCTTTGCACCGCTTACGCATGGTTCTTAGAATTGATTTTAAGATTTTATTTCTAGTTTTTAAATCACGGAATGGCCTTGCACCACCCTACCTTGTAGACCTCCTCACCCCTTATACGTCTGCTCTTACTCTTCAATCTGCTAACCAGCTGTTGCTCTCCATACCTAGGGCCAGAGTAGAGACTGAGTTGTATGGACTTTACTGTTAGGGCTTCACAACTGTGGAACAACCTTCCTTTGTTAATCAGACAAGCTGCCTCTGCCTCTATAATAACACATTTTTCTAAAATGTCTTTCAATGAGTTGTATTGTCTTTTGCTTTAACTTGTTTAAGTTTGTATTTGCACTATGAATTTTAATTGTTTTTGTGTTTCAATCACTTTGTAAACCTGTTTATTGAAAAGTTCCATATCAAAAATATGTTATTACACACACGCACAGCTTACTCATACATGCATGATCTCTGTGGCTCTCCCCAGGTAACCAGGTCTCCAGTAGGCTCATGTCAATGCGCAGCGCCAACGGCCTGCTGATGTTGCCCCCTAAAACAGAGCAGTACGTGGAGCTACATAAGGGAGAGGTCGTTGACGTCATGGTGATCGGACGGCTATGATGCAGGTATATCACTCTGTCATCTGCTTTATTCCCCAACATGTTTCACTCTGTCACAAAGGCAGGAAAAAACCCTCCCACTAACTATCCAACAAACTGCTTTCATCCCCAGACTTCAATGTCACTCGCTACCGATTACCATGGCAGTGCCAGGACTTCCTGTCTGGACAGGATATGGGCGGGGGCAGGAAGCGATGCATGTCTACCTGGTCGCCATTAGCTGTGATGTCATATGCAACAGCCAATTGGAGCCAGCGCGGGCTGAATCCTCATTGGTCTGCTCTGAGGAGATCACTGTATTTCAATGAAGAAAAAAAAAAAGTTAAAGAAATATATAAAATATGAAATTTATTCTGTAATATTATTATTACTATCCTGAAGATAATGATTATTAATATTCTTAATTAATATTCTATTTATTATTATTGATTGAATATTATCATCTTAGTAGTAACCATTCCCTCTTCTTTCCTGTTCATTTGCTTTGTGCGTTTCCCTGGTAGATATAGAGATGTAAACTTTCCCTTCCTTCCTTCATTTCTCCTGACTTCTCTGCAGCTTCTTCTTCTTCTAATTCTTCTTCTTCTAATTCTTTTCTTCTTCTTCTTCTTCTTCTACTTCTTCTCTGTCGAGATATAGAAGCTCCCTAACCCTGCAGTATTACTACATCTCCTCCTACAACACACTGACCCTAACATGAATATTGACAGTTATATGATCTAAAGGCTTATAAGGACATCTTCTGATCAAAGCTGCTGAAATAGTTTGTGCCAGTACAGTAAAAAAAAACATTTTTTGCAAAAAGAGGAAAAAATTATTCAAGGATCCTTTGTATTTGTTTCATCCCGATACAGTATGATAGCACTTTGAGACCATACTGAGACACTGAATGTCATTGTGACTCTCAGTGAAAGCCATGCAACTCTTGTAAGTGGCTCAGCTTTAAGGCAGAGTGAGGCTGGACTTCAATCCTCACTCACCACACCAGAACCCTCTACTCCGACATCAAATCTGAACCAAATCACGATGATATATTACACAACACAGACCCTGCATTCAAGTGGTGTTTGATTTACATAGGTTTTAAGTTTTCAAATACAAAATTTAAATACTTTGCTATTTTGTCTTCATTTTAAAAACTATAAAAAAGATATAGCTGACTTTATTCTATATTTTTCAAATGGTCATGAAATCCCATTAAAAGACTAAAACCAGTGGTGAAGGTAAAATTGGTACTCAAGTAGAAGTAAAATGACCATATTAATGTTTCTCCTTTAGGAAAGGTACTTGCTTTTAAATATATTTTAAAGGTACGGTGTTTAAAATTTAGTGACATGTAGCGGTGAAGTTGCAGCTGAACACCCCTCACCTCACCCTCCCATTCCAAACATGAAATAGAACCTGTGGAAAACTTCAGTTGTCATAAAAACTCTAAAGGTGTTTAGTTTGTCCAGTTTGGACTACTCTGGCCCATTCTAGGGTAAATATGGTTATTTTACATACAGTTTCTGCCAATAGATCCCTTTCACTTCAATTGTTCGTGTATAGCTTCTACATTAGTTAGTGATTTGTAGCAGGAGGCGGGGTCTAATGTTACATGCCCACTGTGATCGGATCACTGGATGAATTCTCTTCTACTATTACTTTTAAAATCATAAAAACAATGTGAACATGTAACACGGTGCATTGCAAAAATGTAGTGGAGTAGAAAGTACACATTTGTTGATATTTGTAGTAGAGTAAATGTGAAAGAGAAAATGAATTTAAATGTACTTTATTTCATCCCACCACTGACTAAAACCAACATTATGTTTGTGACATTCTGTCCCTCTTTACGGTCTTTCCGCTGTGGCTGATGGAAAAGCTTAAATTCACTTTTGTTCAGAGAGTTAGATGAGCAGATTGACACCTCATGTCTCTCTGTTAAATATGAAACTACAATACTCTGATGAGACTTATTGAAAACTGGAAGTGAGGGTTTGTGGGTCGACAGCTGGCCACGCTCTTTCCAAATGTAACAGAATCAACCTACCACTGTCAGAACTCACCTCAAATGTATTGCTCCAACTTTTAAAAAGGCCCATGAATAGCAGTAGTTTTAGCAAATGTTACTTCAATATAAGTTCCTACGAAAGTAAATAGGACATTCACTGTGGGTCGCTGTCAGCAGCAGATTCATCGTTTGGTGCTAGATTGAGTATCTCTGACAGTAGAACTGTGTGTGTGTGTGTGTGTGTGTGTGTAGATTTTTACTGTGTCACATAGGAATACAAATGGTTTTGGTCTTTTCATGGGATTTAGTGGGAAAAAAAATGGAATATTATATTTCTGTCAGCAGCCAAAGATTACTAGTTAGTCAACAGCTTATATCAGAGACTGGCTTTGCTTTGTGTTTTGGCTAATCAGGAGCCTCCATCTTTTTCAAGTTTTTACCTACAAACCACAGGAATGTGGACAACAGAAGATTTCGTGACAAGACATGTTCCAAACTCAGAGAAACTCTGACGTGACATCGCTTGAAAGCAGGATGTCGCATTCAGGTGCTCTTAAACTGTACAACTAGTGTATTTCTACCACAATGGTGTTAAGGTGCTTGTTGAAGTCGGTGCAGTTCAAGGCTGTAAATCAAACTACAACATGTGACCGCTTCTCTCTTGATGTACTGTACTGTAGTCTGAGCAACACTGAGACATCTAGAAAACCTTGTGGGAGATTCAGCCCATGACTAGTTTATTTAACAAAAAAGTAGAGCGACAGTGTCCTGCTGATTAAAGACCAACCTTAAAATTGTTTACCGGTTAACAAGGATCACTGAAATGCATCATATGCAGTCTGAGTTCCAAGCATTCACCAATGCACCAAACCTTCTCCCGTCTACTTCCTCTGATTCTTCCTGTCAGATTGATCAGTGCCAAGCAACCCCTCATGGTCAAAGGTCTGATGCTGCATTCAGGTCATAGTGGAAACGCTGGTACAAAGCTGTAGCGAGTATTTTTCAATGTAATGGTACTTTCAAACACCAACATGGCATAAATGGAGTTTTTCTGAAGTCATTCCTCCTGATGATCATAGTTAAGACATTTGAAGTGAATATTATTTCCAGATTAGAAGCTCGTGTCTACAATCTCTCTATGACCTGAATACCACACTAGTCAGTGTTTCTGACCTTTGACCCTCTCTTTATAGGCTGACGCAGTCTTTCTCCACCTCTCTCCTCGTTCCTCCCTCTCCACATCCTCCTCTTATCCTTCCCACACACACTTGCATGCCCATTAAAGGGGGGGGGGGGTGTCTTTCTCTTTGGGCAGGATTGATCCCAGGCGTGAGACCAGGGTGCAGCGTCTGGACGTCTTCTGATCTGACTAAAAGCTGCATTTATGAAAGATCTTGATGTGACTACTGGTGCGTAGGATGAGTTTTCAGAGCCCAGGCTCGGGTACCAACACAGTCTTCTCATTCACTCCTCTGGCTCAGATGTCAGAAACTTTCCAGTTACCTCAAATGCACCTTACATCTGCCAATGGCTCATGCTGGGTTCATGTCACATAATACAAATTGGAATAACAGGGTGAAAAGCCCACATCCAAATAAAAAAAATAATTGAAAAAAACAAACAACTGAATTAATACTCATTTATTATATTGCACATTCGGAAGCTCATATTTACAGGAAACCCACAATGACATGAATGCAGCAACAGAGCTTGACCTGGCACCAGCCCAAGGAGGACCAATCAATCCCAGATAGATTCATTTGAGTAAGAAGAAGCAGGTTCTTGTTAAACTGCCTTTGTACTGAGTGATTCGTAACACTGGACTGAACTCAGTGTCACACTGCACATACTATAAACTATGACCAGCACTTGTAATGAAGCAATGACACAGCATTCTACTACTACTGTATAGATATGATAAAGAGGATGTTTTTTTCTGTAATATTATTGAAACTGAAGATGAATTAATAAAAATAATCCTGATTATTCTGTACTTTTTTTGTTTCAACAAGTGGATATTATTTCTCATATCCAGTTTGTCTGTGAAATTGAATCATTCAGAAGGAAAATCTGTGAAAGACAACAAGCTTTGTGATGATCGTAACATACATGTTAACAGAAGGCTTTAAGTAGAGTAGATACTCCAAACTGATTCAATTTGACTTTAATTGAGTATTTAAAGCTCGAACTGTTCTTTTCTTAGGTTGTAAACTAAATGAAAGACACATTAAACCGGTCTACAGCAATAGCAGAATTTACCATTTTCTAATAATACTGATAACTCTTCATATAGCACCTTTAAAAACAGAGTTTACAAAGTGCTTTGACAGACAAAGGAGGCAAGAATATGACTATTTACACCATCTTAACTGACTTCATTAACAACTGAGACAATTTGTCTGAACCTATTACATTTATGGCCAAGGTGCCAAACCCAGAGGAGGAGTATGTGTGGGGTGAGGTATACCTGGTAATGACACAGATGTCAGGAGTCCACATCAAGCCCTGACACTGTGCTGCACGTCATCCCTGCACTACCTGTCTGTCTGAGAAAGAAAAAATGTTGAGGAAAGAAAATGAAATATTTGTGGGGCTACAAGCACAAGTGTGCTCCAATCCAGTACATTCGATTGGTACAGGCGTTGCTGTCAAACTTATTTTCTGATCCAGCATCAGTCGTAAGGAGAAGATCAACACTAAATGTAACTTATTTGTTGCACTTATTTGTTCGTTGTTATTTGTTGAGTATGAAAATGGACTTCCTTCTGACATTCAAACCACATGTAAATCACCTCAACACATATAAACAGTTCTTATTTTTCTTTTGAGAGAACTACATCTGTTCTCATGAGTTTGGAAATTGGTTTTGTCCTCATTCTTATTGTTGTCCCAGTATTTTTATTGAAAAGAAGTAAGTGGAGATCATTTAATACAACACTTTTGCCAGAGCAAAGTCACAAAGTGATTCACAAAATAAAATAACACCATGAAAGTTGTAACACAGTTAAAAAAAAAATGCAGAAAGACATTGAACAAGAATGGGGGTTAAACAATACAAGGAACATGATGAAACAGAGACTAATATCAGTAATTTTTTTAATGTAAATGTTTTGTTTATTTTTGCAGGGTGAATATAAAATTAAAAAAAAAAACTGCACTGGACTTTGCTTGCAGTGAATTTACATCACAATGAAAATACAATTATTATTAGTAGTAGTTGTCACAGTACTAGTAGTAGCAGTAGCAGTAGTCATAATAGTAACATGGTTGAAACTGAGTAAAGTTAAATTAATATAGCACTTTTGCCAGAGCAAAGTCATAAAGTGTTTCCCATAATAAAACAACACCATAAAAGAAGAGAAAAAAATATGCAGAAGTACATTTAAGGTCCACTGTATAAGATTTAGTTGAAATGGATCTATTGGCAGAATTTGAATATAAAATAATCCTAGTGATGTTGCCACTACTGTGTTTCTACTGTGAATTCTTCATATTTAAATTTTTTATATTTACATCGGGTCCTCTCCACAGAGGCCGCCATGTTCTTTACACTGGTCCAAACTGGACAAACTAAACACCTTTAGAGTTTTTTTGACAACTGAAGGTTTCCGCAGGTTCTCTTTCATGTTTGGAAGGGGAGGGTGAAGCAGGGGATATTCAGCTGCAACATGAAACTTGACCACTAGATGTCACTAAATTCTACACACTGAACCTTTAAACAAACATGACACTAAACAATATAATGTACATGGTGATATGAAAGACTAATATGAGTAATTTGTTAAGTAAAGTAATTGTATTTTCTATTGTTTATTTTACAGGGAAAATATACAATTAAAAGTACGTGCACCAGAGTTTGCTTGCACCTAATTGACAATATATAATATAATACAATTATTACATGAGGCACCACAATACATAAAGGTTCAGTAAATACAAGGCTGTCATTGGTGGTGACACTTGTGTGTTGATTTTTAGTAAAAGCCTGAGGTTGGTTTTTATAGAGCTATAGTTAAATTTACTTAAGTTTTGATAAAGGTGATGAAGTTTATCAAAGTAACAAATATGAATTCAAAAATAACACCAAAGGTTCTACTGCTGCAACAACGTTAAATAAAGCGCATCTATGCATAGTTTTGAACTAGTGTAAATTGTGTTTTAAATTGGGATTGGCATTAAAGGTCCAGTGTGTAAGATTTATGTGAAAGGATCTATTGGCAGAAATCTAAAGTAGAATAATCCTCATGATGTTTTCACTAGTTTGTTTCATCTAAATTGTATGAATTGTAGTTTTCTTTACCCCAGAAAAGGCCCTTTATATTAAAATACTTTATATTTACATCGAGGGGGTCCTCTCTACAGAGGCCGCCATGTTTTTTTACATTAGTCCAGACTGGACAAACTAAACACCTTTTGAGTTTTTATGACAACTGAAGGTTTCCACTGGTTCATGTTTGGAAGGAGAGGGTGAGGTGAGGGGTGTTCAGCTGCAACATGCAACTTCAACAATAGATATCACAAAAAAACGTTTTAATAAAGGTGATTAAGTTTATCAAAGTAACAAATATGTATTCAAAAACAACACAAAAAGTTCTACTGCTACACAAACGTTAAATAAAGTGCATCTCTGCATAGTTTTGTAGTGTAATTTGCGTTTTAAATTGGAATTGGCATTCAAGTTTGGGATACACCTGATCATATCAAGCACACGAGGTAAACTATCACAATTCGCATGCTTTTTCGTGGGCTCTGTCTTTGTTGGAAGTTAAGTTGGCTTCTTCTCCTCATGCTGATCTATCAGAAGAACCTCTCCACTGTGCAATGTTCACGCGCTTGCATTCCACGGATGTAGCAGCGCCTTCGATTGGCTCGGGAGGATCACTGCATCCAATCAGCGTCGTTGTTTTATGCCCCCCCCCTGTCTGGAGCTGGAGGTGACAGTCTGAGAGGAGGAGCGGCAGGAAGAGCTCTGCGCCGCCGCTGCAGTGAACCAGCGGTCAGCCTGTCACCGCAGTTTGAAGAACCAAACCCGAGTTTCCAGGTTGGACTTTAAAAAAAACAAACTCTATCCTATCCCCGAGCTCCCGGTTGGATCCGCCCGCGGAGGGAGGAGGTGGACGGCTCAGGAACACAGTGAGTGTCGCTGGCTTCTCGCTCCTGCGCTGAAGTGGCTTTGTTATCAACAGGTGCCGCAGGAAGCAGCCAGCTAGCTAGTTAGCTGCTAACGCTAGCCCGATAACGTTCAGCGCAACGAACCCACGCTTGTTGAATAAGTGCAGTCTCTGTGGCACTGCCCAACTTCGTGTCGAATATTGATGCTAACTAAAGGCAGTTTGTCTTTACGGGTGGTTAAACTAACTAGCTTCATGCCCAGCTACTTGTGGGGGAGTTTGATAGTGGCTAAACAAAACACTCATTTCTCTTAGCTAACCTTCCTCACCTGGCATGTAGCTCTTCCGCAAGCTGTCAAACACTGACAGAGCCTCGATCACTTTATTCGATAATATCAGCGTTACGTGTTGACGTCAGGCACTTTGATAGCAGAAGACTGTTTAGTTTCTAGCTTCGTTGTCCGAGGTTTGTGTTGACATGCTGTTGCGTTGGCTGATGTTGCTGTAATATCACGGTAAAGTGCAGTCAAGAGGTAAAGCAAAGTCTATTTAAATGCAATACAAACTGTTAAAAGTCGCCTCTGGTTAACCGAGCACGTATCATTAGCTGCTGTGCACCCGCAGTCAAAGTAAAGGATCAAGTGACTGCCATATTTTTCAAATGTAACCTCCTTATCTCTGTCAGAGAACGGTATGTGTTGGGTTGTGCCGACATTACATTGCTCAGATACCATTGAAACCAGTATTAGTGGATTTCCCTGCTATACATTTTCCAGTTTCCATGGGATTTCTAATCCTCACATTTTTGTTTGCATTGTATAAGTTAAATATCTCACAAACATGCTAGAGTTTGACACAGATGGGAAAAGTTATAAGTAATTCCAGTGGTTCAGGCGTGTTCAGATTCTTAGCTTCAAACATTTCAAATACTTCGGCTAGGATGCAATCGAAGAGTTTAAAGTTTGAAGAAAGTACAGTGTAATACTTTACCTCATGACTGTTATCAGTGACAAGGTGCAGTCCTCAAAGACACTGAAATCGCCCAACGGTAGTGAATGATTCTCCCTTTGCAGTGTCATGCTGTTTGCCTGGGGCTGTCAGCAAAGATCCGATGATACCACTGTGCTGCTTTGGCAGTTTATCTGTCACACTGTCATCATCGCTCATTCTTTTGTGTGGTAGATGATTCATTGGAACAAACATGTAATGACTAGTTAGACTCAGGGAAGCACAACCATTGAAAACAAACTTGGCAGTGGAACAGTGAAACATAGCTTTGAAATACAACTCTCGTTTGTTGCATCCAGGATTGGTTGCTTTGCACATTTGATCTTATGTTAAATTCAAAGAAGGGGGAAACGTTTCTGTAAAAGGTTAAAGGTGGTTTCTTGCAAGGAGTGGGTGGTGATGCCGGTCATTTTAGCTAAATGTAATGTAATGGTTATGCTTGTGTGAGCTTCTGCCATATTTGAATTTGCAAGACAATATATTATAATACGACCTCTGGGCAGAGCCATTTCTTCAGGTCGGACTGGATTTACAGTGCCTTGCTATAAGAAAGTAACAACACGTCCCTCATAGCATCAGGAATACTGCTGAACAAAACCTAGTTGTAAACAAGAGAGTGCAACGATATGGCACAAGTACACATACTCTTTTTTGTCTTGGCAAAAAAAACCATTGAGAATAAGACTGGGCAATAAAACAATATGATTAATTATCACTATATATATATTATCAATAGCACTGCAGCAAAAATCCATTACATATCAATATAATGCTTATACAGCGTGGAAGCATAGTGAGGAGTTCACAATTTATCTACCTTAAACAGGAGCTTCTTATTACACAGTGTGGCTCTCTGAAATCCTAATTTTCATGAGATTGTGAAACACTGTTATATGTTCCTTTAAACGCCACAAGTCTGTATGATATCAACTGCATTTTAAGGAAAATGTGTCATTCACAAAGGGGAAGTATTACACTGCCCACAATCATCAGGTGTAATAGCAACATCTCTGACTGGTGGGGGTTGCTGTTACCATGAAAATGTTTACCACAACAGCTACGATCTGATTGTTCGGCGTTACTATGCTAGGTCACTACACTATACACTATTTCAATCGCTATATACATGCTTAAAGGACACAAACCACAATGTTTTGCAACTTTACATTAACAACAAGAAGAAGCGTCCAGGAGTTTGTTGGAAAGGGATCATTTGCAATGGTTTATGGGATGCATAGTTCCTTCACTCTTAAAAATATAAATAGTATTTTTATCGTTTTCCATTATTATATTTTACATATATTATTCTTTTGGTCAAATGTTGTATGGTCACTATTTGTTTCTTAGCTAGTCTGCTTGGTTCCAGGCCTAAAACTCTGAAACATCAATGGAGAAAATGACTGGGAAATTTACCTCTGGAGCCAGAGCCGTTCTAAAAGTGGGCGGTCACTTAAATGCTCCATATCTAACTCACCAACAGAAGGTACATTCCCTTCAGTTGTAGGTTGTGTTATCAGTCCAGCCACTTAATGTTGTTCATTGGTCCACTGCTGTAAAGTTTACCACACCGGACTGTGTGATCATTCTGATCCTTTGAAACTCTGGGCTGACCTTCAGATGGGCTCTACAAGCAGGTATTAGGTCACATCGCTATGGTGACGAGGTCAATGCTGATTTTTATGGACACACACGTACACACAGAGTAGGCTAGTGAAGCAGAGAGGTGAGGACGGACAAAATACAGAAGTCCTCTGTTCTCTGGAATGCTCTTTCGCTCACTCTCATTTTCACTCTGACCTGATTGAGACCCGTTAAGCTGCAAAACAACATGTGTCACCAAATCAGGGTCTTGTCTATCTGATGATTTCTCCCTGGCCTCTGCTAATTAACAGGTTTAATTCTAGTGTGCTGTTTGAACATTTGCTAAGCACTTTAATGTTATCAGTCAGTGGAACCTGTCGTAGCCCACTGAAACAAGGGGCTGGTTGACTATTGGTCAAATAACCCACTAACACATAACTCACCTGGCTTTTATCTGCAATGGGAATGGATACTTCCGGTTCAAATGAATCTGCAGTAGACATGGGTTTGTATCAGCTCTGGCCCTGGCTGACAGTGATGGAAACAAGACATTTAGGGTAATGGGCTAATTTGGAGAGAAAGCTCCTCAGTTTACGATGCATCAGTGATGTTGAACATGATGCACCAGGAAACAAAACAGGAAAGCAAACTCCGTTACTGTCAATGGGAAAAGAGGCAACTGCCTTATTCTAGCAGGTTTAGTTGCGTTTCAATAACCCAGTTATCCTTGTTATTTTTGGTGTTAAAGTGGTATTAGCCTGACTTTAAAGTTTATAGTAGAAGCTAAATGCATAAGTTCATGTGTCAGAACTGAAAAGTTTTGGTACTGGTCTTTCAGTTCGGTATGTATGAGAACCGAATGAATGCAGCGAGTCCACGTGCAGAACTTATTTATGTACATACGGGTCTCAAATTCCAACAACTTTAGCAAAGGAGCGTTAACAACCACCATAATGTACCATACATGAAACCATCTCCTGTTGTTCAGAACGCAGGGTTCAAAAACGTAATTGAGTTCCCTCTCGTCCGCATTTCAGCCAGCAAGTCACACCAGCCCTCTTTAAACCTCTGTCCTTAGCTTGAGAGTGTTCTCCACAGTGGGAGATATTGTTAGTGCTAGCATGGTCACCCTTTGGTCCATGGTCCACAATGTGGACAAGTTCATTTTTTTGGGAAAAAACTCCAAATCAGTTGAATGTTTTCTTTTCCTTGTTTCCACTGTACCGACAAAAGTAGTGAACTGTGACCTCAAAACCGAGGTACTTACCCAAACAAGATGTTTGTGTACCTTCACACACCTATATTTTAAACATCCTGACTAAGGTCATACAGTCAGATTATAACACATGTACCACTTCCCTGATATTTCTAAAGGGTGTGGTGAACAAATGCTCTTTCAAATCTGTCTTACTATTTCAGTTTCCACCACTGCCTATTGAAGCATTACTTCATATTTGAAAACTTTAGTTTTAATAAGCTTTAGATATTAGATGACAGATTGTTGAAATATCTCTTGTCTTTTCATGTTAAATAATTCAGTACATCATAACGGACAAACATGACTTTAAGTTCCTGACTGTGCTCCCCCCTCTCCCTCATTTTGCTCTGAATCCCTAAGTCTGGTACAAGGTGGTACAGCCCTTTTTAAGTGTGTGTGTACTGTTAAACACAAGATAAGATTGAGCTCTGCTTCTGCTCCCAGTGACTTTCACACACACACACACACACACACACACACACACACACACACACAC